CCTGGAATTGAACTCAGGTCTCTCGCTTGCAAAGCGAGTGCTCTAACCACTGAGCTGCAGGACTCCACCATGCCATGACCCACTCTGCCTTCCCCCACCTCGCAACATCGCCTGGTTCCACCACTGTCTCACACCTCATATGCGCATTCATAACATCCAGGCTTGACTACGTAAATTTCCTGCTTGTCGGCCTCCCCAACTCCTCTCTCCATAGGCTGAAGATCATCCAGAACTCTGCAGTCCGTGTCTTTTCCCGCAAAGGTTCCGTGACCCTATCATCCCCATCCTCGCCCGACTCCACTGACTTCCCATCACACAGAGGATACAATTCAAAATCCTGGTCCTCAACCCTTCAAATCCCTCCATGGCCTTGTTCCCCCCCATCTCTTTGACCTTCTAACCCCCTACCAACCTGCCCGCTCGCTCCGCTCAGTGGGCTCCAGCCTGCTTCACGTCTCCCCCTTGCCCGCCCCACTCTCCTCTTCGACCATGCCTTCGGTCAACCGCCTTCTTCCCCACTGCCCTCCACCCTCCCCAACTCCCAGCTCGGGTCCAAAAAGCATTGATTGTCCAGCGCCTTGGGATATCCTCGAAAGGCGCCATACAAATGTAATTTTGTTGTTGTTTGTAAGATAATGTTTTTACATTAGTAACAATTCCTTTTTCGAATTCATAATTATCTTAAAATATATAAATCTTAAAATGAATCATTCAAAATAATTAATAACATTAACTAATTACAAGTCCCAAGATTATCAGGTCTGCTTCACAACTGTGGAATGTATCTAGAAACTAAAGAGCTATTAGCAACATATTACAATCGAATCTTGAGGACTTGTGACAAAAGAGGTTGAGAGGCATGCGAAAGACACACAACACATATAATACCAATTGAATCTAAAAGATAATTTAGGAGGAAGTACTTCTGCAGAGGGTAGTGAGATTGTGTAACTCACTGCCCAAGGTGATGGAATCAGATAGTATAGATGCACTCAGTAGGAATCTAGACCTTCACATGAGGAAAGGGGGAATAGAAAGGTATGGGACGAAGCAAGGAATGGGTGAAGGCTCATAAGGAGTATAAACAACAGCTGGTAGGGCAATGAACTGGTAGAGTGGGTCTGTTTCAGTGCTGTACATTCTTTGTAAATACAATGAACTTCACAAAGAAATGTAGTCAGCTATTGTCCTTAATGTACCCACAAACAAAGCCAGTCCACTGGCTTCAAAAGACGGGATGAGGAAGATGGGCAAGGTAGAGAGGCTCTGGGATGGAGCCCCAGAGTGGGGGGAAGACAGAATGGCTTATTAAAAAATACTTGCCCATAGAGCAGATCTAGCAGGGGACATTAGTTAGGCCAGTGTTTGCTGAGTAGGTGGATGTAGTTGGGGCAGGAGGTTCACAGAAATTCAGAGACATGGTGGGGCAAACTGGTGGAGGTATTTGAAACCAAGAACAAAGATTATGAATTTGATCCGCTGGAGAATGGGGAGCCAGTGGGGCAGAATGACGAGCTCAGAGTCTAGTGCAGGAGAGGACAAGGCTGCAGAGATCTGGATGGCCTGCAGCTTGTGTATAGAGGTCAACTTAATTTATAACACAAACATTGCCGCAGGACATTGAACAAGAGAATTTTGCGCTCAGGGAAAGTTACATTATTCCACCTTTCAGAACAAGTGCTAGGGTTAAACCCAAGTCAGGCTCAGCAGACAACATTAGTATTAAGATAAATTCGAAATAATATGCTTCAAGTTCAATCATAGAAGAGCACAACTAATGTGACATTTCCTTCCCACTGCCTTCATCTTTCTAATCATCTGAGTGATATTATGCCCCATTTCTTGAGACTGGTTTTGCCCCCCAGTTACTGAAGTGGGAAGAACTTTAATGTTCTTTATCCACCATCTAAGATAATGCGTCATAAAACTTATGTTCTTTTCAGTGTTTTATAAGATTATTTTGGAACAGAATTTATAAGAAGCCTTGCATTTGATATAGTACCTATCACATTGAAACAGCTTAAATCACTTCATAGGTAATAATAATAAATAATAATCCTTGGATTTGATATAGAGCTTTTCATGTCTTCTAGATGTCTCAAAACGCTTCACAGAATGTAGTGTAAAGTGAATTGACTAAGTTTTGTGGGCGAAACACGGCAGCCAATTGAGCACAGCAGTGTCCCACAAACAGTCGTGAATTGAAATGACCAANTTTTTTTATCTTGAGGGAACCTGCCAGGAATCGAATCCAGATCTCTTGCTTGTGAGTCAATAGCTCTAACCACTGAGCTACAAGTAACTACTGTAAAGTGTAGCAATGGATCATAGACTAATGTGGCAGCCAATTTGTATACAGCAATGCCCCACAAACAGCCAATTAATTCAGGGGATTTCCTGCCAGGACAACAGGAAAAATTCCCATTTCTTTTCAAATCGTGTTGTGAAATTTTTAACCACCACTTGAAAAATTGGTAGACTTCCCCAGTGTTCACATCCAAGTACTTCATTAATTTTTGAGTACTTAAGTGCTCAAAAATTAGTGGATTATCATCCAGAGCAAAAAGACAACCTTGATGCATTTCACCCCTTTATAAGGCGAGTGTCCTGTACATCTTTGACTTTGACACAAGGACCAGACGTCACGTTCTGCATGCTGTGCCTGTGCAATGCGCAGGAAGTCCACAGACATCACTTTGTGACGGAATGTGCAGAAAATGAAATCTACTTCCTTTTTGTCAGCCAGTACCTGACATATGCAGAAACTCATCACCATGCTCAAGAATAAAACCACATAGCCATTGTGATCATTGTCTGGTAAGCTTCGAGCTGCTTATCCAGCAAGCACCACCCTACCCGTCAAGGCTTTAGCTTGCAGGGTTAACAAGAGTCAAGTGGAAAAAATCCCTGTCCTCAGTGACCACTCTGCTCGTTCAAGTGCTGCTGACAAGCCAGGCTGGCTGGTCTGTCATCAGTAGTGCCTGGAATACAGCAGACCCACTTTTCTCAGATGACTACTTGAGGTGATATTTTATTAGAAATTAATCTATAACACTCACAAGCAAAGGGGATATAATTTTGATTCTTCTATTGATGGACAACAAATCAACATAGATGTAGTTAGTTATATACTCACAGCAAGGGAATCTGATAGATGGTTCACATCAGCTTATAAAATCTGGAGCTCTGTGATATTCAAACATTTCAGAGAAATTCTTCTGAATTCAGTATTAAACTTGCTTTTTACTTGGATAATAATGGTAATATCTAATAATATTGCTCATCCTCTTCAAGAAAGAAGAACTGTAAATTCTTCCAGGAAGCAAAATCCATCAGCTGGAAGGATTTTTAAGAAACAAAACTATTGCTTGAAGGATTTGAATAATAATCCTTGCATTCAATAAAGCGCCTTATGACATCATTGAGATGTCTCAGAGTGCTTCGCCAATTCCAACATTATGAAGCATGAAAAAGCAGGCATGCACAAGTGCACATATAGACAGCATAAAATATTTTGTCTTCAAAGTATTCAACAGCGATGCATAATTTAAAACTGAAAAGCTTTTACATGCATTCTGTATGCAGGGATCGATATGCTGTACATTGGAATAGCCTCTAACTAAACATTGGACTCAATCATCAAATTCTGACATTTGACAACTGAGAGTAACGTCACCTGCTTTGGCAAACACGACTGATTTTGTAAGCAATCATACTGCATTGCGCTAAAAGGGGTTTACACACTGAAAAGCATTTCAAATGGAATTCATTCTGTTGTGTTGCCTTCTTTAATACAATATTGTATTTGTTATGACTATCAACCAAGACAATAAGTCGAGCAATGCCAGAAGCTGCAGGTTTAAAGCACTTCAAAACAGCAGCAAATACTGAGCAATTAGATCAGCTAGCCAGCAGGACTACAAATATTTGGTTCTTTTTTCAGAGAACGATCAATATTTGGACTAGACTTGGAGAACTTACCTATTAAAGAATCGAGTGAAATTTGACACATATTAGGAACATTGGATCACCTCCTTTCATAGCACCCAGCCTGCAAAACTTATCTTTCTAAGAAGTTAGTCCTTGAACACAAAACTATAGACATTTCTACACAGAACAGGATCATTCGGCCAACCATGCTTGTGCTAGATCCTCACTGGACAGGTCTACTCTAACCCCATTTCTCCACAGAATCATGGAAAAAGAGGATGGCATAAGAATTGCAACACAGCTTCTGTACATATCTGGAATTCCTGGAGATTAGTGATCACTGGCCCAGGAACCAAATGAGCAGCTGCATTTAGGATAAATCTTTTATTTTAAAGGAATGCTTATAGGAGATCCAGTGCAAATCTGTACAATCACCACATATGAACAGCATTTTCTCTTTAGCTTTCCTCTGCATCCTTGCTCTGAAGATTCTGCTCTTCAGACCCCCAGCATGTCCTGGGTAATGGCATATCCTGGGTTAGATCAGTGCCAAACATAATTACAGAACTCAGTCTTACAACACAAGCGAGGAGGTCATAATAATTCAGGAGAAATTGGACGGCATTAAGACCCGCTACGCAGAGATCCCTTTATGATTGCAGAATGTGAAGTTCAAAATGAAACAATAGTCATGCAATGTGTTTTAGAAATACTGTTAAAAAGAAAAGGTCACTCTATGAATGATTGGGATCACATAGTGCCTAAAAAAATCAATCACTTATAGTTTTGTAAAATACTATGGTCTAGTGCTCGTCCAGTGTAGTGCCTGTTTACAGCAGCTTGACCTCTCATAGTGGGGCATATATTAACCATATGGTCTGTACTGCATTGTAACAAATAAAATGGTGCTTCATTTAATAGTCCCCATGGAGAAGGATGATTTAACAGCTATTTGGTCACAAGAGGTAATACAGTATTTCACTAAACATGTTGAAACAGACAAACATGGATAGAGAGGGGATACTCAAACTATTGTGCATCTCACTTAAACAAAAGGTTTGGTTACATACCCTGATGTCTGGAGAGAAGCTATTTGTTGAAGTGGAGAAAGAATCAGAGGACATTACTGAAGTGGTTTGATTGTACACCGATCTCTCCGATCGAGCCGTTGAGGAACTGTGGAAAGAAACAAAGGAAATTGATGACTAATCCAAAATGTATTTTCTCCTTCAGAACTTTGGGAGCAGGAATCTTGCCCCTCAGCTCCTTCCGCCCCTGGAAAAAAATCTCCCCCCCTTCCTTTCCACTGCCTTGGAGTCATCTGAACTCCTCCCACCTAGGCTTCCCCCCCGCAATGACCTATCCTCGGTCACAACTCCCTCTCCACCACTCTCGATGCCCTTGCCCCCCTCGCTTCCGGAACTGTCTCCTGTTCATGGAAGTCATCCTGGTACACCAGCCATCTCCGCTCCCTTAAGGATCAGGTGCATGTCGCTGAACGCACCTGGCTCAAACCCAACTTAACAGTCCATCAGCAGATCTGGCTGGACCTTATCAAATCTTATCACTCCGCCCTCGTCTCTGCTATATTGTCCTTCTACTCCAAGACAATCTTGGTTGCAAGGTAAATCCCAGGCTCCTCTTCTCCATTACCAACCGGCTCCTCTGCTCACCCTCTCATGCCTTGCCCATCCTCACCTCCAACACCAGCTGCTTCTGCCCTTATGACCACTATGTCCCCATCTCCCCCTCATACCCCAGCCCACAAGCATCCTTCCCTCCACACCTTTGAACCTGTCGCCCCTCCTCTGTCATCATCACCAAGGGGGAAGCACACGGATGCACACTCCACCTTGCTAAGCCAGTCCAGAACCTTAGCCTCTTGCTTGACCCTAAACTATCCTTTCTAGCCCACATCCGTGCCATGTCCCACTCTGCCCTCACCTTCCGGAACTCCATCCCACAGTCCCTACACCTCACCCCCTCCCTTGCCTCCTTCAAGACCCGTCTCAAGACCCTTCTCTTCGATTGTGCCTTTGGTCATCCTCCTTCACCACCTGATCTCCACCCTCCCCGATCCCAACCCCTAGCTCGGGTCCAAAACACTGATTGTCCAGCTCCATGGGATGTCCTCTCAACACGAAAGGCCCTATACCAATGTAATTTTGTTGTTGTTAACCCCGCAAGCCAAAGCCCTAAAGGCTAGAGTGCTCCTAGCTGGATGAGCAGTGGGAAGCTTGCAAATGCCAGTGCTCTCAATGGCAAGCTATGTAGTTTAGCTGTATAAACTCTAGCAGTAACCCATCACTGCTCGGGGTCCCCGAGCCTTGGCTCTTACCAACCTGCTACCAACTCTTCAGATTTTGGTAAGCAGGGTGCATCTCTTCCGGGAAACGTAAACATTCCATTCCAGACACAGGAAAACTTCCATGTGTAGGTGACATTCATATACATACACTAACTCCCTACCTGACTGGATGGACTCCAGGTATCTGGAATTTGTAACTTGCCAGACCAGGCTGGAAACGGAAAATTAAAAAAAACATGGGCCCGCGTGTGACTCCTGTCAGACCACCCTCCCTCATCGTCCTTGCTGGCCTTCAGTAGCCACAGATATAGACTTTGATTCTGTTTGAATCCTACAAGCAGAAGATAGCTTATTCTCTGTCTTCTGCTCGCAGGATTCAAACAATTACAATTGTGCTGGCATTTATCGGCACCGAAAAAAGATGGTAAATTCCAGTACTGGCATTGTAATTACACTTAACCACAAATTCACCCAGCTGACCAAACAAAAAGAACCATATCAATCTTATTTCAAGCTGTAATGACCTGTAATGGGAAGTCAGCAGTGTCCCACAAATAGCTTGAAATGAATCATCATTTAACCTGCGTATAAACCAGGACTCCAAATGCATTCCCCAATCTTTTTTTCAAAATAGTCCCTTAGGACTTATAAAATCCATCTGTACCACCAGAACAAGCAGATAAGACCTTAGTTGACTATTCATCTGAACTGAGTTACATTTGTAATAAGACGAGACTCACACAGTATTGTATGGGATTGTAAGCCCAGGCTATGAGCTCAAAAATCAAGCATGAGGCTTAACACTGCATCTCCTGTCCCAGAGACAAAAGGTCAACCAACAGAACCAAAATATAATTTATACCAGCTGCAGATACACGCCCAATCAAACACATAGACTTCAGTTGTATCTAAATAAATTGTGCTTTTTGTACCAGCACATCCAGAGCACATGGGCAAACCCCCAAATCCTGTGCCTAAAAATGAGAAGCAATCACCTTCACTCTAATAGCACAACCAAACCATGTAACCAACTATTTCTCTACAACACAATCATAAGTTCTGAAAATGTATCAGATGATTTGCTCGATGAGTCAAACTACCGTTTTAAACAGAGCACTGTTCCTCTTTACCATAATTACTGAAAGCCACCATAAAGTTCACACACAACATCCTAACCACAACAAAGTCTTCTAACTATTTTCTGACTCTGCAGGTGAAGTTCTTTGTAGGTCAGTAATAGTCTTGTCAATCTGAATCCATTTGCTCTTCATAAAAAGACAACTGTCTGAATTAAAATGGTCTACAGATTTGAACAGTGAGAAAATAATTCATGCGGGCTTGTTGTGGAAGAGAACAATCACTTCTTTGAAAGGGAAAACTCTGCATGCTATGCAAGTATAATTTCAAATACCATCCTCCATTACAAAAACAAAGTTCTTTTGCTGCGTGGAGTATATAGCAGACAGCAAGATCACAACATCTTCAGAGTAGGGGATATTCCTAACCTATACGATACAAATGTATATTTGTGCATTGGCTTTCACAGTCAGAAGGACATCCCAAGCTGGGGGTGGTGGTAGCCAATGTGGTGGAAAGATGACCGAAGACACAGAGATAGATCTTGAAAGAGGTGAGGGAGAGAGAGAGTCAGAGGGACTCCAGGATAGAGTTCCAGAGAGTGGGTCAGATATGCTGAAAGCCCCACCTGAGGACAGGGGACATGAAGCAGGCCACTCCCTGCTGAGCAAAAACAAACAGGTTAGTACAGATTGAGGAGGCAGGATGGAATAGCATCAGAAAAAAGGACATTAGGATCAGGGGAAGAAAAAAACATTACAAATGTAACTCAATTAAAAACAGAAAAAGTAAAACTCCAAGAACTAAATTCTAAAGTGTTACAAAGATTAGATGCATTGGTGTAATGAGAATGCGTTTCATAGTGAAAAAGAATTTCTCTCAACATTTTTTTAAAGTTGCAATTGCTGCAGCAATCCGCTCCTTGAAATAGTCTTGAAGTATTCGACTTTCATATCATTGTCTGTTAAATAAACAGCTGGAAGAAAAGCTGCAGCTTTAAGGGTTTAACACGTCTGTTAAAATTATCTGGCGTGAGCAAAGTACTGTATGTTGTACTGAACAGTAGCTTCATTTGCCAGAGTACACCTGTTCCTGAATGCAACAATTCAGATGTAGTCAGCCAGCTGGTGAAGTGAAATCGTTTTACATGTGGATACAAGAGATTCCCAATTACTTTGAAACAAGGTCCCTCTTTTACTTCTTTTGAGGATTTGGATGGGAAGAAGTTCAGAGATGTTGCAGCACACCAAGGGGTAAGCTGAATCTGCGTGGCTACTGTACAATTCTGCAGCCTGATATCATGTTACATTTTGCTCACATGTCACAATAACTATTGCATTGAATCAGGAGCTACTCTGCTGGAGTTAAGTTTCCCTTTGACATCCCTTTTACTGTGACATGTGTTCAGCACATTTCCATCCGTAGGGAGGAAGCCAATGGAAATGGTAGTCAGAGAGGAAAAGGGCAGGCACAACTGATCAGTAAAAGAGGCATTAACCAAAAAGCCAATGTTAAATACTACTCAACATCACACAGTTCAAGTCAATCAGAAATTCCCACAGGATTAATTCTGAATGAAACTCTGTTGAATCTCAGTTTGTTCAACTAAACAGTCATACAGATATACATCCTTATGGCCAAAGGCTATAAGTGCAGTATTATTTGTAACCCCATCATTTTTTTCAGATGTTTTAGCATCAAACAAAATATTACAGATCTTCCCAAAATTGACAATTACTGCTATACTTCAGGTCTCAAAAGAGCTCCAATAAGTCTTCACTTCATCATGCTCTGTAATCTGCTACAATCTTAATAAAAAACAACAAAGTTACATTTAACAACAAATTACAACAAACAACAAAATTACAACATGATAATAATAAATTGGTCACTTCAATCCACGACTGTTTGTGGGACAATGCTGCACACAATTGGCTGCCACAATTCACCTACAAAATATACAGTCAATTCACTTTACCGTATATTCTGTGCAGTGCTTAGAGACGTCTCAAAGATGCTATATCAAATGCAAGGATTATTATTAGTAGTAGTATAACGCCTTTCACATCAGGGGATGTTCCAAGGCGCTGGAAAGACATTCCAGCGCCTTGGGACATTCCATTTGTGGAGTCCTGCAGCTCAGTGGTTAGAGCACTCGCTTTGCAAGCGAGAGACCTGAGTTCAATTCCAGGCAGAGGGCGAAACCTTGGGCAAGTTTCTTTACTCCACACAGAGCCTAATAATAATCCCTCCAAAACCCAAAACAATAATAAATTGGTCATTTTCAATCTACGACTGTTTGTGGGACATTGCTGTGCGCAATTGGCTGCCGCGTTCGCCCACAAATATACAGTCAATTCACTTTACAGTGTGTTCTGTGAAGCGCTTTGGGACGTCCTCCCGACGTGAAAAGCGCTATATCAAATGCAAGGATTATTATTATTATTATTCACATCTGCCAAGCTACCAGAAACACTTGTAAAATGGAAAGTGCTGGTGTTCCCACAGATAGTGCTAAGAAAGCTACTATACACGATATGTTAGTTTTGTTGGGATTAAATTGCATGCTGTAATACAATTTCAAGGTTCGGGTGACATTTAAACTGCCAAGAGTTCCTTACATATGAATTCATCTCGTCTGGGTATTACAAAGCTATAGGAAATTTCAATACAATACTATTCTGTAAGCTAGAAGTTTCTATTGGAACGATCCATCACACTGGCAAGTTAAGTAAGTTAGTATAGGCCATTTCATCAAAACTAAAAAAGTAAAGCGAGTACGACTGAAAAACAGGGTGTATCCCGAGTAATATTCACAGACTATGTGAGCTCAGGAACATCTAACTCCCTCTGGTGCAAATGTTTGCTTCCTGCAACATATACACTCCAATGT